AAAGAGACTGTCAAACTGAGTTAGAAAGAAAACCTGCAACTTATAGTAAACGTGCATAATGTAGTGACAAAGAAATGTTGCACGTCTATGGATGAACTGATACCAGAAAATTAAAACAAAAATAAAACTGTCTTGGGAAGCAATGTCTACATCAGGCAAGTTGGCATTTAAGGTTTAATCAGGTCTGAAATGTAAAAGAAGAACATTTCATAGTGAGAAAAGGTACAATTTATGAAAAAGATATAATATGACATAACGTATATGCATCAAATAACACAACAGCTGAATATAAAGCCTAACATAACCTTGTTAGATGATAGATGTATACAAAATACAATAATTGAATCTGTTCTCTCTGACCATAATCTAAGAATACTATAAATTAATAATTCAAAGATGATCAACTGGTGGCAAGGATTCAAAAAAATCAATTTCCTTATGGAAGTATATAGATGTTTTTTGGAAAGCAACGTGACAGCATCTATTAAAATTTAAAATATGTGAACTCATTGACTCAGCAATCTCACCCTGGAAACTCATCCACAGGAATAAAAGCACTAGTGTGGAGGGATACAAGTACACAGATTTTGTTGTAGCATTCTTTTTGTTAAGAATATAAAAATGAAGACAAATGAATGTTATGAGTAGGGAATGGTCAAATTAATTGTGCTACATTTATGATATAAGATACTAGACAGCCATTAAGCATAATAAATTAGAGCTGTAATTATTGACTCAAAGGGATTTCCATCAGATATTGTTGAGTGATAAAGGTTAAATAGTCAGGAATATGTAGTATCTAACAGTGAACAATACCTTTATCAGTGTGTGTGTCCCCATGTCTACATATATGTGTACATGTATATATCTGATTAAATGAATGGGTTATGTGGAGCAAGTGGAATGGAAAGGTGTTAGGGGTATATGGATGGAAGATATGAAGGAGGATCAAGGGAAAAAATTGTTTTAAGTAAAATATAGTTAAGGTGTATATTTTATGACTCACTGAGAAGCCCATGATTTCTTATTATATGATAAAAAATTTGGGAATGAAAGTATAAGATACTTCTGCTTCAGTTTAAAGTCACCAGTTATCTGTATCAATCTATGTATCTGTCTGTCTATTTGCCTGTACATGTGCTTTGGGGAAAGTGATGAAGGTTGAAGTCAGGTTTATGGCTGACAAGAGGAAGGAATGGCTATAAAATCTTCTAAACAAGGTAGAGGAGAAAAATGGCAAATGATTAGCTGTGAGTCACAGTTAGGGAAGGAAAACTCATGGAGGAGATTTTGAGTCTGGGTGACTTGGCAAAGTAGTGAAAAGAAAAGGGAAATAAGAAAGAGTCCTTTGAGAGGAATGAAACTTGGTTTTATTTTCACGTCTAACCCTGTGATGTTAGGAGGACTCCTTGTGTCCTGGTTGCTTACCTGAATGGCAGTGGGGAGATATGAAAGAAAATCCTGCAAGAATCATAGGAATTATTTACTTAAAGTTTGCTTCTGTAACACTTCATTTGACTATCTAGTGTGGACAAATTTTGTAAGCTTATAAGCAAAAAGAGAAACAATAAAGGGAAAACATTGGTATTCATGATTATATAAGAATGAAGACTACATCTTACACACATCGCACATACACACACGCACCTCAAAGAAATTATGATGCAAACTGCAAACAGAAAAATATTTTGAACCGGTGTGCCAGGCAAAGGAGTTAACATCTTTGATATGGAAAGATAAAAATCCTAAAGAAAATGTTAAATATTCCAACTGAAAAAAATTTGGGGAAATGGCAATTTACAGCATAAAAAGCATACTTGCTCAGCAAACATAAAAGTGTTCACATTTTTTAGAATTACAGGATTGAAAATTAAAATAACAATGAAATGTTAATTTTGTCTACCAAGGAGGCCAAACTGAAGAATATGGTGAGAGTCTGTTTTGGCAAGCATGTGGGTAAATTGGATACTCTCAAACATTGTGAACTGCAGATAGAATTTTGATAGTTCTTTTTGTGAATCTTAAGTGTTTAATTTAGTATTCCTGATCTTAGATACTTGTTGTGGAAGCAAGCACAGATAAATATTAAGATTTTTTGTAAAATTTGTTCAATATGATGTAAATATCCAACCAAAGCGGGCTGATTAAGTAAAAACAAATGATATACTATTGCGTGGTGTTTAAAAATCAGACTTTGAGGAATATTTAATAATAAGAAAAAATATAAATGTAAAAAAGAATGAGAACTGGATATACAGTATGGTCAAAATTTGATAAGAATTGTATTATGTACACATTTATATCATGTATAATAGTTTGTTACATAAGGTATATAATTATATGAAGTGTACATTAATAATTATCTAATGTATATGAATTTACTACACACAATTTTATAAATAAGAAGGTAGGTTTTAGAGTAGAGAATATTTTACATAAGAACAAAGAAAATATTGAAGACTTTTATTTATTTATTTTTTTAAAATTTATTTATCCATTCATGAGACACAGAGAAAGAGAGAGAGGTAGAGACACAGGCAGAGGGAAAAGCAGGGTCCATGCAGGGAGCCCGATATGGGACTCGATCCCAGGACCCTAGGATCACACCCTGAGCTGAAGGCAGATGCTCAACCACTGAGCCACCCAGGTGTCCTAGAAAATGTTGAAGACTTTTAGAAGACTATCTCTTTGGTTGGGACTTGATTACCTGGACATGCACAGCATTACTGCATTTTAACATACAGCAATATAAATTTCTTTGTGTTGAAGATTGCTCCTAGAAGGCAGGATTTCTAACATTGTTTCCTAGTGATGTCCAAACACTCATCCCCAGAAGCTGTACATGCCTGGAGACAGATGACCTGGGTGACTCTAAGGTAATCACATGAGCGTTTAAAGGATAGAACTTTCTTGGGCTGGTAAGCAGAAGAGAAAGTAGAAGAAAAAGTTGGAGAAATTCAAAGCATCAGGATACATCCCACAGTTGTTGGCTTGAAGGGGACCCTGAGGAAAGCGTGAGAAGGAAATGAATTCTGCTAGCAACCAGCAAGCCTGGAAGAGGATCCCAAGACCCAGACAAGAACTGCAGCCCAGTCTGATACATTGACTTTGGCCTGGTAAGACTTCAAGAAGTGGAACCGATTGGGCCATGCTTGCCCAGATTTCTCACTTGCAAAAACACTTAAATGAATATTAAGTGTCCAAGTTGGTAGAAATGTGTTCCAGCAAGCAATAAAAAATGAATATATTGTTCAATGTTCAAAGAAATGTCTATAAGTAGAAAATGGAGTATGGTTCTCACATAAGATGTAAATGAAGGGTTAAATACATGGGCTTTGAGGTCAAATAGAACTGGGTCTAAATTCCAGATTTTTTACTGGTTAGCTGATTTGCACCCGTTCTTTGATCTGTTCGAGTCTCAATTTCCAAGTCTGTCAAATGAGGTAATGGCAGCTCTTTTAACAGTTTTGTGTGAGTGTGTGTGCGTGTGTGTGTAATAAACAATATAATATATGTAAAGTTCTGCAAAAACAGTAAAAATTCATTCTATCATGATTTCGTATTTGTTACTCCACCCACCAGCTTTGCACTGCAAATTTAAATTTCAAGTCTTTTAAACGAATGGTATATTTAAAATGTAATTCCACTTCTTTCACTTCTCTCTTTCGCATCTTGATCTTGACCTCACTATCAATAAATTCTGTTTTGGACTCAAGGAAGTTCTTTTAACTGTTTACAAGGCCCTCATCTCAATAGACTAAAGTGCCAGGCTTCTCACACAGGGGGCACCTGACTCATCGGACTCTCCCTGAAGAGGGACATTCTTTGGTGTCTGCCTTCAGTTTGGCAGAGCACTGGGAGGAGCAGAGCTAGAAAATACAGTGAAACCATCGCTGCTCAAAATGCATGAGCCACATAGACCTCAACTTGGGAGAAGAGGCTGGCTGGGTCATCTTTAGGGAAAACAAGTTTTCTAAAGCATGCATACATGGAGTCCATGTCTTAAAACTTTAATAATATGGAAATCTCATTAAAAAAAATATCCACAAGAGCAATTGCAAAGGGCCAGACAATGATAATATTTAATTCCTGGAAGGGGAGAGGCAAGCAGCAGACTTTGGCTACTTATCATATATGATATGTATATACTTAAAAAGATGTTAGGTTAACTTATATGATTGATGTATATTTAAGAAACAGTATTGAAGGTACACTGTTTCAGGCCCTGTGTTAGACATTGTGGAAAAAAAAACAAAGATGAACAAGACCTATTGCCTGCAAAGAGGCCTTTTTTTTTTCTCAAATAAATTTTGACCTAGAACAGTTGTTCTTAAGTGGGGATGTCTTATTCCCCCAGGGGACATTTGGCAATGCTTGGAGACATTTATGGTTGTCACAAAATGTGGAGTGGGGTGGAGAGGTGGAAGGTACTGCTGGCATCTAGTGGGTAGAGGCCAGAAATGCTGCTAAACATTTTACAGAACACAGGGCAGCCCCCATAACAAAGAAGGAGCCAAACCAAAATACCAGTAGTGCTGAGATTGAGAAACTCTGATACAAAATAAATCATGCACCATACACAAGAAAGCTCAGGTGGAAAATACTGGGCACAGAGAGAGAACAGAATTTTCTACTCTCAAAATATGAGAACATTGATATGAGGTGCAGAGGAGTTTCTTTGAAAACTCGATCCCAGAAAAATAGCTGATAATGGAGAATCCTACCCGGATGTGGGTAAGAAAGCAGATCAGACACAGCTGCTGCTTGTAAATTGCATCCCTGTGGTGTGGCCACTGGTAGAGTTCTACTTGAAGTCCATACATTGATCAAATTAAAATTGGAGGGATAGAACATCTTAAGAGCCTCCTTCTTACAATTCTTTATTTTACCCCATTTGTCAGGCTTTACATAAACTCTTAGATTACAGTAGTATAAGCTTACATACCCTCTGAAGTGAAAATCTGTAATATATTTTTGCCACGTTTTGTTTTTAACCCTAGGAAGCATTTCTAATAAAGTTGGTCCCTGCCCTATGGACTGTGATCTCGATCTCTTAAAAGAAGACCATGAATTACACAAGAAGGTAAGATGAAAGCTGTAGACACTGGCTTAGGAAAGACCATGAAAACAGCAGACCCTGATTATTAACTATGATTTCTTAAAATATATTTACAGGTAGAAAGTAATTTGGTCTTCAAAGCAGGTTCTGAAGTGTGGGACATGCTAAAGCAGCTGACGTTTGTGAAATCAGTAATGCCAATAAATTTTTATTACATCCGAATCAGACTTCTTTAAGCTGTTGAAGACTTTAGTTAAATTAATCAGTCTACAAGACTCTTTCCCGCTTGGGCAGGTGATTAGCAAATGTGCTGATTGTACTGTGTGTTATTTGGCATGATCATGGCTGCCATGAAGTCTGTTCAGAAACTCTCTTGATAAATTTATATAAATTACATAGCCTGGGTTTTCAAACATTGGCTAAATTAATTTTACTAAATCCAGTTTTTAGATATTCAGCTATTTTCAAAATCCATATCTACATAGAGCAAGTGACTTTGAGTTTTAAGAATTCAGAAAATTTGGCCTGGCTAGAAAGTTGAAGTGAAGGGATTGTTCTCCAAGCCCTGCCTTTTCTCATACAAATTGCTTGAATTATCTTGATTTTCCACTTTTTTGATTAAATAGTTTTAGGTCTATAGAACCAACTTTTTTTATTTTAAGATTTTTAAAATTTATTTGAGGAGATAGAGAATGAGCAGAAGGTGGGAAAAGGCAGAGAGAGAGAGAGGAAGAAGCAGACTCCCTGATGAGCAGGGAGCCTGATGCAGGGCTCTGTCCCAGGACCTTGAGACCATGACCTGAACCCAAGGCAGACACTTAACGAACTGAGCTACCCAGGTGCTCCTAGAACCAACTTTTTGCCTTAACCTCAAGAATGGACTTTAAAGTCTGTCTTATTTTCATTTCTAAATAGTGGGCCACCATCTAATCAAATAAATGGCTAAGTTTTTAATGTCTAGATGACCACTACAGCATTCACAATTGCTGTTTCTATCATAGTTTGTATTAAAAAAAAGAAACTAAGGAATCAAAAGTTTAGTGAAATTTGTAATTATGACATTTGAAGTCAGTCTTTACTGAGTGCTTGGTAATAACTAGGTTCCAGGAAGTATTCTCAGTTCTCTGCATCAAATGACTCATCTTGTTCTCACAACAAACTAATGGCACAGATACTACCATTATCACCATTTTCTCTATTTTACAGGTAAGACAAATAAGGCAAGCGAGATGGAGTGAGTTAGCCAAGATAATGTTGCTAATAAGGGTATAGCTGGGCTTTGAACCCAGACTGTCTGTTTCTAGACTCCATATTTGTTTTCATCATGAAATAATACTTCAGAATAGTTATGATTTTTCTTCTTCTTCTAGCTGGGTATACATTGTGTTCTACTTCTTGGGTTGTATACCTTAATTTAAGGGCTAGGATAAGGAAACAAAGAACAACTTGCTAAGAAGGAAAAAAAGCTCATGCCCTTTTATGCATATTACATATTAAGTACTATTACATAGTATGTACTTTTTAGAAAATTTTAATTATTTATTTTAGGAAGGGAGAGAGAGAGATAGAGAGAGCATGAGCAGGGGAGGGGCAGAGGGAGAGAGAATCTTCAAGTAGACTCCCACTGAGCATGGACCCCAGTTTGGGGCTCCATCTCATGACCCTGAGATCATGACTTGAGCCAAAATCAAGAGTCAGAGGCTTAATTGCCTGGGCCACCCAGATGCCCGACATATTATGTACTTTTATGTATAATCTTTGGGATACTGAAGAAAGGGTATGCCCATGAGACTCCCAGAATATTGTGGCTCTAATATTAGTCTTCTATGTGCTTTTGTGAATTTTCCTACTAATCGTTGAATTTAAACTTTTGGGATTAGAAGAAAAGCTAACATAGGGTAAGGTGAGAAAGAATACAATTGTCCAGAAAATCTAAAATTCCTTCCTATATTTTCTGAGTTTGCATGTTCAAGTAAGGAATTCTTTTTTTGCTTTATTTTTAATATTATATTTCAAAAATTGTGAGTCAATTGCTTGGGATATTATACTCTTCCCTGGAGGGTCAGCCACTTTGGGAAGGTGTCTTAATTGAATTGCTTCAGAAGGGAGCTTGTTCTTACCAGGAATATGTCTTTGTTAAATCAGTTCTGTAAAGAGAGCCAGACACACACCCATCACCCAGAATCACGTGACTGAGTGCTGTGGACAAGGGCAGTTATACGATCTACTAAACCTAAATTTCAGACTCCCTATTCCAATTTGAGGGTTTTCTTTTTTTCCTCATCTTGGTATGCTTACTGGGGATTAAGTTGGATCTTCCATTGATATGAAAGAGCTGACCTAGGCAATTTCCAGGGTGGCTGTTGGCAAATGAGGTTAATGTACTACTTCACAAGGGATGCATTGGTTTTCCAAATAACAGAACAGACCAGAGAACAATCAAAAATTGTGTTTCCAAGTGGCCAGAAATGCTAGTTGTCCTCCAGAGGGCAGAAACAGAAGACTGGGGGTGGAGTAAGGTGGGGAGGTTGGTTACTCAATTTAGAGGTCTCTCTAGGTAAATTCTAGGCAGCCAGGGGTACTTTATTTCTCCCTGGTCATTGCTAACGGATAGCTATCTTGAAAAATTCTCTGGTACACATATCAGATATGAATTAAGGAAAGAGGAAAGAGTATCCCTGCTGGATGGGTTCAGGATTTAGGCTGGTTTAATTTAGAGCTGTGACTTTTTTTTTTTTTGTATGCCAATAACAGCATGGATGGAATTGAATATGATGTCATGTTTGTTTGCTTTGATATTTCAGATGCACCTGGTGTTTGTTGTTGTTATCTCTGACTTGTAATTCTGTGATCTTATTAACACAAGCCTCTTAGCAGAGTACCTCCACCCCAAACCTTCCTCCACTGCCTTCTTAAAAAATGGTGCACCTTATGGGGCAGGCATTAAAGCGTCCACCACTGCTCCCTTCTGATCTTCTCAGGGAAGTTCAAAAGCATTTATAATCCTCAGGATTCAGCCTTTTATTCACTACTTCCTTTTTCTAAGGCTTTCTCTTTTGATGAAACAATCCCCTTGCTCTTCATCTGGCCAGATGGGCAGATGAACAGTGCTCCCTAGAGCTACACACAAAGACTCTGTAAGGAGTTTGGGGAAAAAATGCTGCCACTAAGTGGAGCTTCATTGTATTAATGAGTAATGCTTTTCCAATGCCCTGGTGCCACTGGTCTGTAAACTGCAAACTCTTTCTCAACACAAAGACTTACCTTCTCATCAGTGCCATCATGGTCACCCTTCTCCACTAGCTGATTGGGTCATGGAAGGAATCCTGGCTAAGGGGCAAAAGCTTTGAACGAGATAGCAACCTCGGGCTTTGCTTCCTATCCTATAATGCAATTTAATGAGCTTACCATGTCATGAGGTGGACAACTTTGAGATTTAATATTAATCTCCTTGTAATATTTTCTACTTAACTGCTTCATAGAAATGCTGTAATAAAAGCAAAAGAAAAGATGTGAAGTGTTCCATTAATCGCCTGTGCTATGTAATACATTGTGCCAGATACCACTTCTATCCTTATATTCTAAAGCATTTTAAGTGCTCTCCACCCCATGCCCAGAAGAATTTTATAGTTATTATCTCCACAGATTCTTGTCTCCACAAGAATCCTGTGATCTATGTAGGTCAAATATTATCTCCATTTTTCATATTAAAAAACCTAAACACATGAACTTTAAATAATCTACGTTTCCAAAGAAGTGAGAAGACTTGAATGTATGTCTTTCTGAATATTACTTGTCGACCCCTTTCACTCCAATGCTATATATATATATACACTAATTTTTCAAAATTCTGTAAAACACTCTTGGCTGTCATTTTGTATTGTTTTTGAAAGAATGTTCATTCATTGCTTGCTAAGCAATGTTGCATATTTTTTAAAGATTTTATTTATTTACTTGAGAGAGAGAGAGAGAAAGCATGAGATGGGGAGAAGGGTGGATGGGGAGGGAGACCCAACTTCACACTGAGCAGGGAGCCCAATGCAGGGCTTGATCCCAGGACCTGGAGATCATGACCTGAGCTGAAGGCAGACACTTAACCTACTGAGCCACCCAGGAGTCCCATAAACACTTGCATTTGAAGAACAATCCCAACAAACCAAATTTATAATATATCAATTTATATTAGCAATTTATATTTCAATATTTGTTACTGATTTCTGTGATGGATTAGGGTATGAGTAGCCATATACAAAATATATGAAATGTGATGTTCCAGAACAAATTTTGCATCACTGATTTCTTAAGGTATAGACATTAGTCTTTCTAAAGACATTACTGTTGGAATAATTTCTTTTCAGCGTTGATGTTCTTTGGCTTCAGGGTACAGATGATCTGTTTTCTATCTTTTGAATGTTGATGATATCCTAGTTAAAGTATTATTCTCAGGTATAGATTCAAGGTATAAATCTATGGTTGGTGGATTCCTCTTTGTGAGTAGGCTCATACACCCTGGTACTTACTTGGGAAGGTCCCTGCCTGTACTTAGCTCTTTTTGAATTTAAATTTATTTCTTTGTGTTTTTGTTCCTTTGGGGGCTCATATCTTTGGACATAAACTAATTTCCATGACTTTATGTATTATGAAACATCAATTTGAAGTAATTTTTAGCATATTAAGTTAGATATTCTTTAAAGAAAATCCAAAGATTCAAAAAATATTTATTTTAAAATTCACAAGTGTTCTGCTTTGTAATTTAGCAACTAAAGGTAAAATTCATTGTTGTTATTATTATAGAAGTCCTCAATGAAATGACCACTACTAGCTATTTCTTGAATGTCAACCATGTGGTTATTGCCAGGTTAGATACTATGAAAGATAAAGAGAAATATAGTACCTCCTACTTCCACCATGAATTTAATTGAACAATCAAGATAAATATTCATACATTAGCCAAATAGAAAGCAATTTAACACATTCTATTGTGAAATACCTATTCTTCATCAATTCAGGAAGTTTGGTAGGTA